CGTATTGTCAGAAGCGACTGCAGAGTTAGCATCCGATACTTCATCATCCGAGGATAACCCTCTCTGCATTCTTTGGTAGTCCCTGCGTCTAGTGGTCCCTGATCGCAACCGGGTTAGACGATGCGATACAAGCGGGTCAGAGCTAGAAGGTCGAATTGATTTTCCCTTATTAACCATATTGATGGTAACCTCTGGGGGTTCGTCACCTTGAACGACCGATCGTTTCTTACGGAGGCGCTTTAGATTAGACTTATCCTTTCCGTTGGAGATCCTCTCAAATACCGAGACCCTCTGCGGAGCGGTCTTGGGGCAGCTACACGCTGATAATACTGCCCTGATAAGTTCGACGCACGGGCAGTGAGATTTTGTTTCTCGGGTATATCTCTTCCGAGACTTGTTCATACCCCCAGCCCGATAGTACAACTCCTCGGTCAGATGACCAGAGCAACCTATCGTACGTTGACACAACTCCCCAAGTATAATGTTATCATCGTCAGATGAATACGTTTCTTTCAGGGGATTTACCGCTTTATCAGCGTTCTCAAGAGTCACATGTTTAGAACTACACTTTTGGGAGCGCAAGATCTTAACAGGCTCCTGGTTTTGAATACACACCCCCAGACGGGTGGAAACTGGAGTTTTCCTTTTATAAGAAGGCTTGTTATTGTTGAGAGGGCGTGTGCGACCCCCAGCTCGACGAGTTGCTCGGGGTTCAGTCACCGGACCCAAACGTTCTTTGCTCAGAACTTTGCCTCGATCCTCGTGCAAAGGACCCAGGCGATCAACTATCCTCACCTTGAATCGGGACAAATCCATGTTGTCGTGGGGCTCCACCAAAGGTGCGAAACTCGAAGGGATCAGCGTAACCGGTGCAGAACGTCTTCTGTCTCGACCCTGGCGCGGGTCAGATTTAAGTGACCGACAGGTTGGAGGGTCGGATTCAAGTGACCCGCGATTTGGAAGGTCGGATCCAAGTTACCCGCGAAGTTGAGGGTCGGATCCAAGTGACCCGCAAAGTGGAGGGTCGGATCCAAGTGACCTGCGATTTGAAAGGTCGGATCCAAGTGACCTGCAAAGTGGAAGGTCGGATCCAAGTGACCTGCGATTTGGAAGGTCAGATCCAAGTGACCTGCAAATTGGCGGGTCGGATTGGAGTGACCTGCGTTTTGACGGGTCGGATTGGAGCGACCTGCGTTTTGGCGGGTCGAATTGGAGCGACCTGCGTTTTGACGGGTCGGATTGGAGTGACCTGCAAATCGGCGGGTCGGATTGGAGTGACCTGCAAATTGGCGGGTCGGATTGAAGTGACCCACGCGCCGGCGGGTCGGATTCAAGTGACCCACGATTCTCGATCTTTTCGGCTGCCGTTTTGGATTTTGGCCTCCAAGTTTGATGCAGTCTTGGTTGTTTCTTAGCTATGTCCTTCTTCTGCATCTTTTGTGCTTTTTGCACAAGAATTCGCGTGCGCGCAAGCGCGCGGCGCTTTTGAATTCGCTCCTCCAGAGTTGAACGGATCCTTTTGATTTGGATCCATTCATTTGCTATTGGTTTGGAGGGGAGGACATCTGTCCGCTGTTGGGGTGCTTGGCGTTGCCTAATTTTCAGATCCGCCTCGTAACGGATCCCGTCAATTGACTCCAAGGCTCTAGCGATTTGGCGCGCACAGCGTTGGCGCTGCCTTTGACGAGTTCTCTTTGATAAAATAGGCGCGCCTTCTGTACTCAACTCCTTGATTGAGGAGGAGTTCAGATCTGCAGATCCGGACTCATTGGAGGCCGGAAGGGCGTTGCAAGGTTCAGCTACCGCAACAACGGGGGCGTTGATCTTCCTTCGCTTGCGAGAGTCCGTCCCGCGCTCGCGCGGGTCGGTTTGTTCCGTCCCGCGCTCACGCAGGTCGGTTTGTTCCGTCCTGTGCTCACGCAGGTTTGCCGATTTTTTCTTCTTTTCTGTTCTCTTTCTTCGAGACTTGTCCTTTCGCGTGTTTGGTTCGCTTCGTTGATTTGTATGCTTTGAGTTGATTGACGCGTGCTAGCTGATTAACGTGCGCGTGTTGATCGACGTGCACGAACTGATTGTCACGCGCGTGTTGATCGACGTGCATGAACTGATTAACGCGCACGTGTTGATTGACGCATGCGAGCTGATTGGCGCGCACGAGCTGACTGTCGAGCGCGCAGGTCACTTGATTCGCCGGTTTGCTTCAGGCGCTTGTCGGCGTCAGATAATCCTTTTAGACTCGGATAACGATGTTCGTCGTCTTCTCTCTGTCTCGAGCTGTGTGCGGACACCTATAGGCATTTTTAGATGCCTACACCCATCTCCCCTCCATTTGATCGCCGCCCAACGCCAATCACCATCAGCGCCTCCTCCAGTAGCGACACCGTCACCTCTCCCGGCTGTCCCTTTCAGCCCGTCGCCGCTGCCTTAACCCAAGGCAAGATCCCAGTTTGATTGATTTATCATTTCATATCTGTATTTATTAATTGCATTGATTAGACTATTATTATCTGCGTGGTTTGGTTGATGAGTAATATTAGTAGTAATAATGAGATAATTACTGAGTGGTTATATTCGTAAAGAGGGGGTATGATATGTATTCTGAGCCGTATGTGATGAAATGATATTTTGACGATTATATTATAATTAATTATGAGATATTTTGAAAGAAAGAATTTTTGTAAAGACTATTTTGAAATATTATAGTAATAAATAAATTAAAGAGTTTATTCGGTAATGGATTCATTTTTAGGGAGATTATAATGATTTAAAAGAATTTAATTCAGCAGCAAAATCTTTTTAGATAATTATATCAATTTAAAAGAATTTATTTTGAAAAAGAATTTATTTTAGATTAATTATAATGAGAAAAGAAATTATTTTGAAAGAGAGAATATTAAAAAGAATATTTAAAAAATATTTTTAGAATTATTTAAAAGGAGTTTATTTTGGAAAATGAATTTATGAATTATCTATTCTTATATTTTTCGTACGTGTGGATTTCCATTTTATTGGTCATTTATTAGAATTTTAGATCTGTTAAGAATTTCATGCATAGATTAAACTGTGATATGTTATTACATGCGTGGGATTTGTTGATGAATGATTGTATGGAACTTGTTTTATCACCTAGTTGTTATCCAATAGAAGAGACTGTACATGAAGATGACTCCTGTTAAAAGTATGATTTATAAGCGTGCTTTCAAGGCATGGCTGTACCCTTGATATCGATACCCCGGTATGAAGTTTCCTTGATTATTATTATTATTATTGTAGCATTGACTAGACAATGCACTCTTGATCGGACGTGTTATGGGTCACGGTTATTTTCATAGTTTTTGCAGAAGTCGTTCCACGGTAACTCCGTGGCTAGTGCATAATATTTCATGTACAGTTACTTAATTAGACTGACAAATATGGGGATATAAAGGGGAATTGGACGAAGAATATAACATTTATATAAACGGGCATATGCGCTTTCTTGATATTGTGAGTTATATATATACTTGGGCCGGAGAGCCAAACTTGACTTGAGGGCGGCCCCCGGACGACTTTATGGGGACCCGATTATATATATGAAAATATTCTTCCCCAATTCAAATAACATGTAAAACAAGAATAATATGCTTGCGTGTTTCATGGTGGACTTTGTTGGTTTTATGATATGTAGACTAGTTGTATTTCTGTTCATACATAGATCAGGATTAATAATTAATTACCTACAATTTGAGACATAAGGTATATACATGAGGGTTTCCTTGTTTGGATTATTTCGCTCGACGTACTACGTCTCAAGTTATAGGTATTTAAGTATTAATTCCATCTAGTTGTGTGATTTGGATACTTGGATGATTACCCTGATGACTAGCTGCGTGATCTTGACACTTGGATGGTTTTCTTAGTTTCTTCTCCTGATTTTATTTCAGTGATAGATTGCATTTAGACTATTAGTAATTTCTTTTGCAAGCTATTATTATTATTATCATTGTTTTTGCTTTGGTCGTTCGATCGTTCCTATTTCTTTCTGTGGGATCTTGCCGTGTGTCACTCACACGCTGACGTACACCTATTTTTCTCTGGTGTACGTCAGATTTAGGAGATGAGCAGCCTCAGTTTGGGATAGTATAGGAGCCAGAGGATTTGTAGCAGTGAGGTCTTCCAGATGGATCGGAACTGTAGTAGTTAATGAGCACTAGATCTTTTCTACAGAACCTTATTTTAGTCTGGTGTTGGATTTAGTTGTTTTAGTAGTACCTTCCTTTTATTTCTGTTGGACTATGTATTTTATATTTTAGTTGGACCGTTTTGTAATAAGGGCGTGTTTGACCCATATTTTTATGTCTGGGATGATTTACCATTGATGATATGTCTATTTCTTATTATGGGTTATCATTATATTTTTGCTATGTGTGATCGGGGACCTGTGACTTCACATTATATTTATTTCTAGACGCTTAGCGTACTAGATTGAGTAGAAAGAGTTTATTTATTTATTTCTACTCAATCTAATACGTCACGGGCTTGTTCACGTTCCTGTTCTCGTGTATTTTGGGAAGCGGGGCGTGATAGGTTTTTTTGGTGGCCCATGCAGGTCACGGTCCCGAGTCCTCACTAGTAAGAATATGGTAGACAATTTAGATACATATCATATTTCATCCGTAAGACTACAATTAAGTTCTTATATTATTATTTTAGACTACAATTAATTTCTTATACTGTTATTTTAATAACTATGTTTTAGTTCCTATTTTCCAAATATATTATTTGATTTTAACCTTGATTTTCCTTTTGATCCTCGTTCCTTCAGAATCATGGTTGGTACTCGTAGTAACGATAACCCGTCTAGTAGCAGTGCCCCACAGCCCGAAGTGGATCCAAACCAACTTCTGGCGATGATTCAGGGATTGGTTACCAATCAGTAGCACTTGGCGGGACAGCTTCACAGGGAGCCGCAACACCAGCCTCCCCCTCGCGCAGAGTCTGGAGTTAGAGAGTTTCGATATATGCGGCCTCCTTCCTTTTCTGGTGCCGAAGGACCTTTAGCAGCAGAGGAGTTTCTCAAGGTCACAGAGACTATTCTCACGGTGACCCGCATCCCCCATGCTGAATGGGTGGACCTCATGGATATTCAGCTCACCGATACCGCTCGGATTTGGTGGACTGTAGAGAAGACTCATTTGGAGAGGCCCATCTTGTGGGAGACGTTCACCGAGCGCTTCAACAGGAAATACTTTCCTCAGTCAGCTCGGGATGAACTCCTACGAAGATTTGTTGAGCTCAAGCAAGGAGGGCAAACAGTAGATGAGTACGAGGCCGAGTTTTCTTCTTTAAGCCGATATGTTCCCCACTTGGTGACAGACCCTACTATCAGGAGGCATCAGTTTCAGAAGGGCCTGGATAAGTATATCAGGTTTGCTCTGGCTGGTAGAGCACTTGCGACGCACGATGCAGTACTAGATGCAGTACGGGAGATTGAGAGCATGCATAAGGAACCTGAAGACTCTCACGTGATTCAGAGCAGGACACCAGCAGCTCCGGCCCGGAATGTCGAGCGTCCCCCTCCGCGACAGATTATCTTACAATAGTGTTTTCCACCCACAGACAGATGGTTAGACGGAGAGAGTGAATCAGGTGTTGGAAGACATGCTGTGGGCTTGTGTCATTAACTTTCAGGGCAGCTGGGAGGAGCATATTCCACTGATAGAGTTCGCTTATAACAATATTTTTCAAGCGACGATCGGTATGGCCCCTTATGAGGCATTGTACGGGAGACCTTGTAGATCACCGATATGTTGGGTAGAGCCGGAGGATAGCTTAATGCTTGGACCAGAGCTAGTGAGACAGACTACTGAGAATGTAGCATTGATCAGAGAGAGGATTTTAGCCACCCAGAGTCGACAGAAGAGCTATGCAGATAAGAGACGAAGACCCTTGGAGTTTCAAGTTGGAGATACGGTTATGCTGAAGGTATCACCGATGAAAGGCGTTCAGCGATTCGGAAGACAGGGAAAGCTTTGTTAGACCCTAGAAGGGGGGTGATTAGGGTCTTATGCTAATCTAATCCGATTTAAATGCCAATTAAAATTAATTAACAAGTTATCCTAGCAAGTATGAAATGCAATAATATATATGAGCTAGGATAAGCAATATACAATATGATATATCCTAGCAAAGAGATATATAGCAAAATATATATGCAAGGATATATAAACTAACACAAGGGTAAACAATATAAACTAGATAGTGAATGAAATAAATGAGCAATGCACAAATGGCGATATAAGATGAATGCAAAAAAAATACGCCAAAGCACACTCAAACACAATCAAATGATCACGGAGTTCGGACCTTCCGTCCTACGTCTCCGCTCCCCACTCCCGGGGAGAAATCCACTATCAACCGGGTTTTCTACGTTCACCCGAATAACGTTTACACCTCACACTCGGTTTTCTAGCTAACCGAAAACTTTACAATCAACACACTATTGTAATCCCACTCTACACCCACTAAGTGTTGGACCTAGCCGTGTCTCCCTCAAGTGCTCGGTTACAACATCTCCCTAGGCTCGTCAACCGACGCCACTCCTCTTGGGACGATCCCCGACTCTCACCACACACTCCTCACTCGGTGTACAAGTGTATTACAAAGTGAATCTCACAATAAGCACAATATAACAAATGATTGTTCTCAACTATGGATGAGAACACAATTAAGCACAACTCAAAGTTACAAACTCTCACCACCCAATGAAATTGCTAGAGAAAGGAGTTAGAAAACTTCTCTAAGAACACAAAGAAGAGGATGAAGGGGATTGCGAATGAATCCCTCAATCTGCAGTTAAAGCTTCCTCCTTTGTAAACAGAAACTCAAACTCAAATAAACAGTAAAACCCTAAACCCTTGTTTAAACACTTTGTTTAAAAACTTCTTTAAAACATTCTTAGATTATTGAGAAGAGATCAGCAATGAGGTATTTATACCCTCTCACAACTCAGCCAAAAACCCCAGGCAAAAAGACAGAAAAGTCCCTAGAAGACAGCTCAAAAAAATAGCCGTTAGTGTCTAACGGATCTATTGTCGGTCGACCGACAGATCTTTTGATATTTTGACTTAAACAACATTTTGAAACTTTATGAAATGATTGTATAGACTTGATAAAAGATATAATATGTTGTTATGAAGTCTATAACCTAGAAATATAATATTTTTATAAAATTGCATATTCTATGCAATATATTCAAAACACTAAATATGATTTCTGAAACATGTGATTTCATATTTATAAACATGAAAACTCAAAACTATGTATGT